ATTGGTTTATCTGGGCCAACTGTATGGCCTTAAACACCCAAAAGGAAAGTATAACCAAAGATTAAAGGGGCCAATATAATTTTTTAAGAGTCCATATGTATCACTAAAGGCTATATAACAAGAAACAATGCCAGATAGGAGAGACCTTCTTTTGAGTTGTTGGCCAGGGTAGCCCAAGAGACTCCTAGACAGTAACCCAGCATATAACTGGGAAAATGAACAGCAGACCCCAATCTTAACTAAAGGAATATTGACAACTGATTGCTGCTAGATGAGGAACAACCAACCTTCCTAAAACAAAAACCTCTAGATAGGCTGACTAGATTCACCAGAAGGGCAAGTAGTGGGGAACGGTGGGGGTGCTGACACCACAGCAGACAGTAGCAGGGAAGACAGAGTAAAAGGGTTCTAGTGTGGGGGAGGCTATGGGAGGGTGCCATCTGGGAAGTGGGTGTATAGATGAATAAGATTGTTTGGGATGTTCTGTGTGATATACACACACAAAAAAGCAACAAATAAAAAAATGAGTTATATTTGAGGAGGAAGCATAAAAATTTAGGTCATGTTAATTAGTAGAGGTGATAAACATTACCATTGAAATCTACCCAATGACTTTATATCCATACACAGGTGCCAAGGATCTGAGTGCAACCGACCATGACTAGTAATAATCAGATACATACAGATTAGAGATGTATGTACCAACATGCATGTTATTAGCAAAAACAGTGAGTCTTTCTGTAAGAAATAGTGTATTTTAAAATGAAATGGAGATCTTTTTTAAGGGTTAAAAAAATCATTCAATTTTTTGTCTTACAGGGTTTATACTGAGTTCAATATTGTATAACTGTATTAATTCAACTGTGAACATAAAAATTTTATAGCCACTTCTGAAAGAGATGTATCTTTGCTCTGGAAATTGTTATTGAGTATGTTAAAGCTGCAATGAAATACTTCTTTTAAAAAAATTAAAAAAAAGAAAGTTGGAATGAGTTCATCTAACCAGTGGTTATTCCTAAAATCAGGAATTCATGTTGTTTTCTCAAACGTGTTCAATATATATCAAAATACTAATGAAATCTTTATCACTTTGAACAGGATAGAAAGACAGGGAATATTATGGTGACACAGGAAGGGAAAGAAGCCCCTTCCAGGGCTGTGGCTCATTAACAACGTTTGCTTAAGGCCTTTCCCCTTCCATGCTATAAACCTGTACTTTTCTAGAAATTTCACCAAAAGTCCCCTTCACAGTGAAAGGACATGTCCTAGACTTCTTGTGGAGTCTTAGTGGCACTGGGTTTTATTTTTCAGGTTGCAATCCCTTGATAGTCACCCTATCATCTCACTTAACTAAAAAGAGAAAAGAAAAACAATTTCGTATTTTTTTAAAATTGTATTTATTACTTTTATTATATGTGTATGTGTGTATCGCCTGCATGTAGGTAAGTGCACCCGTGTCATGCAATGTCACGAAGGACAGAAGAGGCTGTCGGGTCCCCTGGAACTGGAATTACAGACAGTTGTTAGTTGCCATGTGGGTGCTGGAATTGGAACCCGTTCTGCAAGAACAACCAGTGCTCTTAACCGATGAGCCATCTCTCCAGCCCCACATTTTTGTATTTTTGACACAAAACTTGACAGCCACCAAAATGGTGTATGCTCCCAAAGCTAAGAAACTCAACAGTGGCTCCCTTGAGGAGTCCACACCTGCATTCGGGTATGTCTCATTTTTTCCCTAAGCATCTCTCTGCATTAAAAAAATCCTCATGCTTAAAATCCATGTTAAAAATGTCTTTAATAAGCTGTGACTCTTCTTTGAGGAGCCCTGTGCTTTTGGCTAAGCTTTCTATTTTCCTGAGAGCCTTTCTATTTGTAATAAACCCTAATTCTGGGTCACAGTGGCCCTGCTACAGTGGCTCATCCTGAAATTCCTCTGCATCTAAACTATGATCCCCAGTTTTACCTGAAAGATTAAGAGGCCACTTCAAGGTTGCTGAGGGTGACAGTGGAGCTGTGTCCTCATCTCTGCTGCTGA